CATGTGTCAAACAAAAACTCAATGGCATACTTAAAATCGAATACATAAGCGGGGTCAGGGCAACCAAAAGCACTACAAGTACGGCATGCTTTACATTCCTGCCATATTGGGGTAAACTTATCAGTACTAGCTGCCACGGTGGTCATGCCGACTACGACGTCGCCGCAAGAGACGATCAAGTACATCTAACAGGAGCAACGCTCCATCAATATTGGTGGCCCTGGTACCATCTGCCATAAGGGCACAAAGACAAGTCGTGAGGCAATGTGAAGCATCGGTCACGGCAAATAACAGGACGGTCGTTACCTCTGGGGTCCTCGACATGCGTACGCCTCCGCCTCTCGCGGCGCCGCCCATACTCGTGTGTACGTTCATCCGGACATCCTATGGGACATGTGCGCAACGCATAGCAGCGCGAGGTTAATAACGTGCAACATGGCTCCCACAAGTGGCAGCACGCAGTCAAGCAATTCATGTTGTTTGGTACTCACCTGCCTGTGACCGGACGTGCCTCGTAGGAGTAGCGGCGCTAGACACGAAAGTACCCGGGACCCTGTACGCCGAGCTAGACCTGGACGGGTTCGGAGGGTCTGACTCTCCCGTCTCAACGGGCACATTATTGGCGTCGCCCCTGTTGCCAGGGAAGAAGAAGTCGAAGAGATCATTCACGCGGGTAGAACCTTCGCGTGAATCGGCCGGTGGATCTTCGCGCTCCGCACCCGCGGCTATTTCCTCAATCTGCATCCTCTCCCAGCTACTAGGTACCGAGTGTGCAGCATCTACATTCCCCCCTGCTGATATCGTGGGCTGTTCGTGGTTCACAGGTCCCGTAATTGACTGCGTAGCCCCCGCGACTCCATCCTCCGTTTCATCATCAGATGAGTCTACCACCGGCTGTCGGCCATTACCAGTGTGTGGCTCGGGTGTAACAGTCACAATGACGGTTTTATCTCGACTTATGTCGGCACCCGCGTTTATATCACCACACGTTGGCGTTTCCTGCATACGCGTTCCATCTCGATCAAATCTACCACCCAGTAGCTTGTTTATGTGACGCGCCGCTACCTCTGTGTCGTTGCTGCTAGGGGAGGCCATAACGGGAATAAGGTTAGGGTTTGAACGAATAGCCAGACAGTGCTAAATGACTCCTTGTATCGCCATTGTTCGAAGCCACTTCGGAAACCATTTCCGTCAGCGATATCGCCGCCAAAATCTCGCCATTCGACGTTGTACACCCGATTAATTTACGGTGTGTGTTACACGACATGTACTACGAAGCTCGATAGCGTGAACGGCCCTGAAAACTCTAAAGGTTTGATGTTTACATGATACATCAAATCTCAAACTGGCTACATCTGCAAGTATTTTAACATTTCGACGGCACAGTCTAATCCCGTTCCGTAACAAACTATGCCCACCCGCCGATAAGTCAAAAGGTCTTGTCTACCGGTTGGTGTTATACTTTACTAGGCGAATGTAGGCACAATCAATAGTCTTGGATGAGGTGCCCGTCATGGACTCTTCTTGCATGGGCTTAGTAGATACCTTGGACCACCAAGGTATCATTCCCAGAGCACGACTGAGATCCCCGATGCGCACTCCTTCGTCCATGTCCTTCAACACCTTGGGCCTGTGCACCTGAAACATGCTTCATCTGGGTTTAGCGTAGGATATGCAGGCACCACAACACACACCGTCCTTTGTAAGGGCATCAACGGTACAACGTATACGTCTTACAATGGATGAGGTGCCACATCCCGTGCATATGTCTCTTGAGTGAGGTGCCGAAATCCTGGACCCATCGGACCGATGTCTCTCCTCCTGCACACCAGATAAACGTCCCACACCTTTAATGGCCATCGGAAACACACCCAGTCGGCACGCCAACGATCCTCACCTCATATCCCATCGCCCTTGCCTCGGCCATTAGAACGACTCTGTAGTCAAATGTCGGTAACTCCAGCAGTATGACATCCTCGAGGCTTTTTGCGTTGTGATTTACGAGTCTGTAATCCACTATTGACGTCATAAACCGGCGACCTTTGGCACGTGTAATGCTCGACTCCGACTCGTCCGGATACGTGGTGTATATGAGCCTCAGGTACATGAATGGTGTGGGTGCATCGGGTGTTATTGCAAGAGACGCACGGGCTTCTAAAATCGCGCGCGCCCTGTGCTGTCTAGGACTGCGCCTTCCACTACCCAGGAATGGGTCCAGAGACCTAAGAATCGTGGCCGCGCTTAGGGTCTGACCTCGTTGTGACATTATGGCACCCTGCACCTGCATTATGGCGTAGGCTATAGTGGGCTTAGACCGTATGAAATAACCCCGGGTGTTGCGCCGACGAGGCTCCAGCACGTCGCGCGCTTTACTACGCGTTGCGCTCATCATGCCACCACCAACTGAAATCAGTAACATTAGGCGGACGTTAGGGTTTTGTAAGTGTTCGTCCTACGGAAATCGAGGAACAAGCTGGTGGGACGATTGGAAGCGGTGTGGAATGGTTTGTGGAGTGTTGGCACGCTTTCATGGTCAACTGGGTGTACCAAGCACAAAGTGCAAAATTACTTCGCGCGTTCTTCAGTATGTGCCATATCGGGGAGGTGAACGTTTTACTCGCTCTCGGATTGAGCGTGGAATGTGCTATATCCCCAACGTGAACAATCTCGTTACGTACACAATGATTGACAATGTGCGTATTTCGACAAATACACCGGTTACTGAGATCAATAGGGCTCATCAGTTACTACATCCCATACTCAATATCCCCATGCACGCTAGACAGGGATGCCATTGGGGAGTTGAAGCATATCTCCTTGCTGGCCGTGGAAGACATGGACGAGGAAGGCGCGTATGAATGCCTCCTAACCTTCTTCTCTGGTGTGCGCAGCTGACGATCAACGAGGTCCGGGTTCCCCAAGCGCTTAAGCGTGACGACGACACTCGGAGCTACTCCCGTCGCGCTAGCAAGCCTTGTGTACGCATCAGATGCCATACGCATGAACCGGCGGCGAGTCCTGTCGTCCCATTTGACGCGGCCGGCACAGCTTGAATCATCGATCCGACGGATGACTGGCTCTGGAAAACGTTTGGCCGTATCCTCGTCCATGGTGTCATCCCAAGTTGCGTAGTCCAATGCATCCATCACGCAGTCGAGGATGTCCAACTGGTCCAGCCTCCTCTGCAGGCCCGTGAGGCTAACGACGAGCTGCTCCACAACCTCGACATGCAGGTCGCGGTTGATCGCCTGAAGCCGAGGCAGCCACTCGTCCGGGACGCACCCAGTGCGCCAAAACGCGAGCTGAATGTGAGATGTCGCCACCCCCCACAGTGCCTGGAATGTCCACTGCAACGTGTTCGCGGCTGATGGAGAGTTGCTAGTCCACACCCAAGCTGGAGGCCCGCGCCTCATGAAGCGAGTCTGGTGGTCCACCCACATTGTGCGGAATTCGGACCTGAAGAATGTGACAATGCCCTGCACGACGAGGTTCCCCACGTCTGGTACAACATCATGAAGCTGCACAATGCGAGAATGGGTTAGGTGGTGCACCATGAAGGGCCCACTCGGCTCTCGCTTGCCCTCTCCCCAAGTGAGCTTGTGCCTACGCGAGGACACAAGGACGATGATGTCACGGTCCTCTGCAAATTTCGCAGCGTTGAGGCCTAGCATGAACTGCGTGAAAAGCTGCACGTAACAACATAGAGTATCACAGAGACATATTTTTAGCACCAACGTATTGAGTCCATATATAGGAGACATTTTTGCGTGTCATCTCTAGTACAATTGGCCATTACCTGGGGGGTTATGCGGCCGGACCGAGTACGGCGTATATATGCCCACTGGTCACCGCTGACATCGTGGCCCAGCCTCAGTGGCTCCCGGTCGGCGCTCACTACAATGGGCCTGAAGCGATGCGCGCCGTCTGAGGAATAGAGACGGCCGATAGACAGCCTCTTCATATCATTCCCATTGCGACCGACGAACGGATGCAGGTCTGGCTGCAGAGCAGGCATGAGAGAAACCTCTACAAATATGTAGACGTCGCTGGGAGGTGCGCCAAGGCGCGACAAGAGATCCTTTAGAGCGGCCATGGAAGTAAAGTGGCGTCTGCTACAAATGGCGGCATATGATATAACCGGTAGGATTGGCGAGTACAGCGTCCAATGTACCTGCTAATTGACAATGAGTGAGTCTAGTGTGAGAAAAACATCGGCGCAAGCTGGCCACTCCCTCTTTGCCCTGACAGGCGTGGATTGGCCACAGAAGCTACGGATTGCGCAATGACGTGGGTACACCTCATAGGCTACCACGGTTGTGCACTCTTTAAACCACATGTTTGTGCCCTGAAAGCTAATCTGTTAGTGACATTTCCGTACCCTGTACAGTATATGCCCGGGTCAGTTGGGGTTCCGAGATAGTGTGCGCATGAATGCATATGTCGGTACACTGTTACATTGCATGGTATAGTTATACTGTTTAGGAACTATCACGCCGCATCGCCCTGAACATCAATATACATCATTTAATTTGGATGCTCCACTCATCGTCGATACGTTCAGTGTTCGACAATAGTTCAATGGTGTAACTGAAACGAAGTCGAAATAAACCCATCCGCGTCAAGGTGAGTGGCCGAAATGTTACGTCGCTGTTGAGAAAATGAGAACGAGAGAATGAATCAACTATGAATGAAGTGAGTACATATAGGAAACCCTGATTGTGTTGTACCCCCTATGGGATACCCCACTATAGCCTACACAAAGATATGTAAGTTATAATGTTCTGACACACCCCCATAGGCAAAGTGGGGGAGAACAAGGGGTCACAAGACCAGTCAAGCAAAGCAAAACAAAGCTCAGGGTGGATCACAAAGTCACCACACATTCCGAGCACAAGTTCAAAGGCCAGAAGGCCAGTTCACATGCAAGATCACATATATAGATATACAAGAGGCTAAGCAAGCAAGAGCAAGAGAATATATATGTGAAAGTACAAGCAAGGTCAAGAAGTGAGCAAGTGAGGCAAGACAGGAACAAGACCCAGCTGAGTGCAGAAGCGCTGATGATCACAAGGCGCAAGTGCCTTGGTGAAGACATCAGCAGTCTTGGCCTCAGAGGCCACGTACGCAAGCCGCAACTGTCCACGCTGCTGTAGTTCACGAGCAAGAAAGTAGCGGAGAGCAATGTGCTTTGTCCTGTGCTCTAGTCGCTGCTCTCGACACAAGGCCAGCATGGCCTTGTTGTCAACATACAGGACTAGAGGAGAACGAGGCGGCTCTCCAAGGTCGGTCAGCAGGTAGGTGAGCCAGCGAAGCTCCTGGGCAGCCATAGCCCCGGCGTAGATCTCAGCCTCAAAACTAGAGCCAAGAACAGAAGACAAGCCAGTAGCCCGCCAGGAAACAGAGCCGGAACCAAGACTGAAAGTGTAACCCTGTGACGACCGCTGCGTAGCCTGGTCGTCAGCCCAAGAAGCATCCGCGTGCCCAGTGAGGACCACTGGACTCCGCCCTCCAAGCACTAGCCCCATGCCCGACGTACTGCACAAGTAGCGCAACACCCTCTTCGCTGCAGCCATGTGCTCTGGTCGGTGTCTCCCAGGAGCAACATAGCGTGCGAGAATGCTAAGAGGGTATGCAAGGTCAGGTCGTGTGCAGGTCATCAGGTACATGAGGCAGCCAACAAGCTCTGCATACGGACCACTCGACTCTACGGACTCATCCGAAGGCAGAGCTGAGAGCGAGTGACGAGTAGGCAGAGGAGTGGCCTGAGGCGAGGAGTACATGAAGCCGAAGCGCTGAAGGACCTGCTGCACCATGTGTGACTGAGTCAGGGTAATGGTGCGGCGTGCTTTGTCCCGGGTGATCTGCAAGCCAAGGTAGCTGCGCAGTTCACCCAGGTCTGTGCACGTGTGTCTCTTCTGCAGCTCGGACTTCACGTAGGCGAGTCCAGTAGTGTCAGCTGTGGCAAAGACCAAGTCGTCGACGTACACGAGGATGTAAAACGGCGGCAGAGAGGTGTCGGTGCTCAGAAACAGCGACGGGTCAGCAGTAGAAGGAGCAAACCCAAGTGCCGCCAGCGTAGTCCTCAGTGTGTCGTGCCACTCACGCGGCGCCTGGCGGAGACTGTAGACTGGACGCCGGAGACTCCACTGGGTACCAGGAGGGAAAGACCCAGTGAAGCCAGGTGGACGGCGCAGCCAGATCTCCTCGTGCAGGCTGCCCTGCAAGAAAGCAGTGCTGAAGTCGAGAGAGTGCAGCTCGTAGTCACGGTGAGCAGCAACGTGCAGCAGTACCCGAAGAGTAGTCATCTTTGGGGTGGGGGAGAAGGTCTGAAAGTAGTCAACTCCCTGCCGCTGACTGAAGCCACAAGCCACGTAACGCGCCTTGGAGACAGGCGGAGAACCCGGCGGCCGTTTCACCCTGAAGATGCACATGCCAGTGACGATGTTCACCCCAGGAGGGGTAACAGCGTCAACGTAGGTGCCTGTGGACTTCCAGGAAGCCATCTCTGCATCCATAGCTGCCTGCCACTGAGAGGAGTAGGGACCCTGTATCGCCTCCATGTAAGAGCGCGGAGTCGGGATGTCAAGTGCATCCGGGTCTCCCTCAGGGGTGAGCAGTACGGACACGAGATGAGGTGAAGCGGCTGCCAGACACTGGAACTCCTCCTGCCTGTCCTCAAGGACGTCCGTGCCAAGGGCACACTCACCCCCGATGGACGGAGGACAGACAGACTCAGACTCAGCGACAAGACTAGCAGCGTAGTCTAGACGACAGCGAGCAGCAAAGTCGACGAGCTCAGTAACAAGGGCAGACGCAGCAGTAGACTCGAAAGAAGGGTCAGTGACGGCAGTAGCAAGGAGACGCGTGACAGTAGGACGGGCTGCACGAAGAGAGTCCGACTCCGGGTCGGCAAGAGCAGGAAGAGAGGACGCAGGAAGAGAAGGCAAAGGGGCATGCAGAGGAGCAGTGGACGGACACCGAGACATCCGGTGCGTGCCAGGGACAGGAGGAGGACGCTGACGAGAACTGCGACCACTAGCGCGCGTAGCACGAACAGGCGACGCAGGACGAGACGCAAGCTCACGACGCTCAGTGAGACCTCCAGTAGGACCAGCGTAGGGAGAAGGAGCAGGCAAAGGGGAGGCAGGCTGTAGCTGTGACTGTGACAGGACAGGCTGTGGACCCTCTAAGGGAGGAGGAGGAGGACCAGCAGGAGGTGTAAGACAAAGAACCTACTGTAGGAGTGGAACGAAGTACAGTCGGGGCCGCGTGGGGACGCCAGAAACAGCAGGGACTGGACCAGAACCCCCAGCAGAAGTACCCGCTCCAGCAGCACCTCCAGCAGCACCTCCAGCAGCTCCACAACCCCCAGCAGCACTTCCAGCAGCCCCAGAACCTCCTGCAGCACCAGGAGCACCGCCAGCCGGACTGCAAGTGGTAGTCTCAGCGCCAACACCCTCAGCAGCACTAGCTCCAGTCGAACCCGCAGGCCCAGCAGCTCCAGTACTCCCTAAACGAGCACCTCCGGGACCTGCGACAGCAGCACCCTCAGTAGCTGACGAACCTTTAGCACCAGCAGCACGGCTCCACCGCCGGGCAAACCACTCGCGCAGCTCCTGTGGAGAGAGTGGCTCCCGGCGAGACGAAGCACCCAGAGAGCCTCCAGGCTGAGCACCCCCAGACCCAGCACCCCCAGGCAAGGCACCTCCAGGTGTAGCACCCCCAAGCTCAGCACCCCCAGGCTCAGCACCCCCAGGCTCAGCACCCCCAGGCTCAGCACCCCCAGGCTCAGCACCCCCAGACGTAGCACCCCCAGGCTCAGTACCCCCAGGCTCAGCACCCCCAGGCTCAGCACCACCAGCAGCACCAGAGTCACTAGTGACCTCGACAGGCTCGACCGCGTCTACCTGGGACACACCTGAAGGGGCAGGACCCTGAGGGGGGAGGGGGTCTACCGGGGGGGGACCTGGGACAAGAAAGAGCGGGGGCGGGGGGAGGGACGGAGTGCGGTAGGGGAAGAGCCGGTAGTACGGTACCAACTCGTCGAACGTGACGTCTTAGGAGGACAGAAGACGGCGAGAGGTGGGGTGGTAGAACTGCCACCCAGGGGCGTCAGGGGGGAACCCCAGGAAGACGCAGGGAGCAACGCGAGGGGACAGCTTGTCCGCAGACAAGTCGCGGACAGACGCCCGAGATCCCAAGACCCGGAACGCCGGCGCATCGCCAACCTTCCGCGTCCACAGCAGGGCTGGGGAGGTCTCCGGCCTAGAGACCCGGGGGTGGAGGTTGATCTGATGCGCCGCGTACCTGACCGCAAACGACCACAGAAAATGGGGGGCTGCCGCATGCATCATAGACGTACGAGCGACGTCCATGACCATGCCAATGCGGCGCTCTGCAATCCCATTTTGTTGCGGTGAGTCCGGAAGCGTGAAGGTCTGACGGATGCCTCGCGCACGACAGTAGGCACGCAGAAGGCCAGAGGAGAACTCTCCGCCTCTGTCCGAGTGCAGACGCAAAACAGGAAAGTCCGAGCCAAAGCTCTGCCGGAGCTGGAGACGAGCTGCGCGGATCCAGTCGATCAACACCTCAGTGACATCACCCTTGCTGCGCAAGGGGAAGACTGTGGTGTAACGCGAGTAGTCGTCAACCACCAACAGGAAGTAGCGCTCGTGACCTATTCCACGGACGCGGGCAGGGCCCCACACGTCCATGTGAAGCGTCTGCAACGGAGCCTCTGTGGGAGGAAACTGGGAGGAGTGAGGGGCAGCACGCTGGCGCCCCTCGACACAGGGGACACAGGCAGGGCCAGGGCCCTGAGGAAGGGGAGGGAGGGACCGGAGGAGACCAGACACAAGAAGACGGGAGGCCATGCCTCTGAGCCGAAGCAGAGAGGGGTGACCAAGGCGGTGGTGCCAAAGGAGAGTCTCGTGAGACAGGCGATGATACAAACAGGGGGCAGACTCAGGACCAGACCTGGACGCTGCAGCAAACACCTGACCAGACAAAGGGACCCTACCAGACTCAGCAACTGGAGGAGAAGCAGTGGTCAGTGTGTACAGGCTCGACCCTGGCTGAAGTGTAAACGTAGCCAGGTGGCGACCTGTGCTAGCCTCTGTGCAGTGCGTCACCCGCTGACGAGCAGGAGTGAACTGGTGGACACCCTCATCCTGTAGGTCAGCACCACTCACCAGGTTCGTAGAGAACGAGGGGAGGTAGAGACCAGACAGGTTGCCAGAGGGGGCCGCCGGACACGGGAGGACTGTGGAGAAGCGAGACAGGACAGGACCCCCAGAGGGGTCAGCCAGGGACACCGCAACCGGCCGACTAAGCGGCGTGAGTGTGGTGCGGTCCCGAAAGAAGAAGCGAGACGCTCCAGAGTCAAGGGTGAAGGTGTGGGAGGCCGAAGCCGACGCAGTACCTGAGAGCGCAGACTCACTAATACCTGAGAGCGCAGACGCACTAGTACCTGAGAGCACAAACGCACTGGCACCTAGAGCAGTAGCCTCACTGGCACCTAGAGCAGCAGTACCAATGCCCGGGTCGGGCGAGAAACACCGGTAGCAGTCACCCTCATCACTAATAGTCACAGCATACATGGCAGCAAGGATAGCATCAAAGTCAAGATCAAAAACAGCTACACCAGCCCTATACAGCTCTCCCTATCGGGGGATCTCAGAGGCCTCCGGGAACTGCTGACGCCAAGCGTCCGTCAGGCGGCCAAAGCAGCGCTGGGCGGTGTGGGTACCCCCACACTGCTCACCCGTGCGGTCGCTGGTGCGAAGGACGTAGGTGCAGGGACCAAAAGCCCCACCACGCTGACGCTGCGTGTACCACTCACGGAGCTGCTGAGGGGCGGGGACGTCGCGAGGACGCTGCTGCTGCTGCTGCTGGCGCTGACCACCCCCAGTGCTGCTCCGCTGCGAAGAGCCACTCCGACCACCTCCACCACCGCCACCCCCGCCTCCGCCTCCACCGCCGCCACCTCCGCCACCTCCACTCCCACCGCCACCGCCGCCGCCACCTCCGCCTCCACTGCCGCCACTAGTACCGCCACCCCCGCTACCACCTCCACCGCCACCCCCACTCCCCCCGCCGCCCCCACCTCCTCCGCCACCGCCCCCGCTAGCTCCACCCGCGCCCTTGCCCCCCTTGCCCTTGCCAGAGCGGCGTCTCCCGCTAGGGGCAGACGCCGCACTGACCGACTCAAGACCAACGAGGTCGGCCGCAGCAGCAGAGGCGACAGAGGGTAATAGGGGGGAAGGAGAACACCCCTCAAAGATGGGGGTGCGAGGGTCACCACGAGAAGCCCCTACAGCGACTATGCTCTTCTCGGCCGCTAGGAGGGACTTCTCGAGGAGGTCGATAGTGAGAGTGGTGGGACAGACCGAGAGAAAGTGGTCCCTAACTACACGAAGGGACTCAGGGAGACGAGTGACTAGAAAGTAGAGAGTGATGTACATGGGGGGGGGGTTCTTGGCGCAGAAGTTAGCAGGAAGCGCACCGCGGTAGCGAGTGTCACTAGTGCGGAGGTGCGTAATGAGGTCAGCGACTGTGGGAAAGGCAGCAAGGTCAGGGAAGAGGTTCGGTAGCATGAGACGGCTCAGTGCAGCAATGGCAGGGGAGGAGTAGCGCGCAACTACAGCGTCGTACAAGGTCTGAGCACTCTTGTACTGACTAAAGTGTGCACGCTCAGAGGTGGGGAGGTGGCGACGCACAGCAAGACGTGCAGCAGCATCACGTGTGGCCCACTTGGAGTGAACAGTGGGGTCAGCATCAGCAGCAGGGGCAGGGACGTTGCCAGAGGTAAGGTTAAAGAGAGAAATGTCATCTACCCTATCGCACTGCAAGTACAGCTGCAGGTCGTCGACCCAGACCTCAAAGTCAATGGCACGACCCTCAGCGTCAAAAGCTAGGACACTAGGGGTAGCCATGACGACAGAGGCCTAGCAGTGCAAGCAGTAGGGTGAGGGCAGTGCAGCGAAAAGGGCTCTGTGCTCACCAGACTGGGCAGAACAGGAAGTAAGGCAGCTTGGTGGCCGGCGGCTCGACTGCTGGGCGGCTCGGCTGCTGGGCGGCTCGGCTGCTCGGTGGCTCGGCTGTTGGGCGGCTCGGCGGCTGGGCGGCTCAACTGCTGGGCGGCTCGACTGCTAGGCGGCTCGGCTGCTCGGCGGCTCGGCTGCTGGGCGGCTCGGCGGCTCGGCGGCCCGGCTGGTGGGCGGCTCGGCGGCACAGCGGCTCGGTTGCTGGGCGACCCGGCGGTCGGGCGGCTCGGTGACGCTGGTTCAGGGCGGCGTGGCGGCCGTGGGTAGGACGGCGGGTGGGCCGCAGGTAGGGCAGCGGGCGTGCCGTGGGAAGGGCGGCAAGCGTGCCGCATGTAGGGCGGCAGGCGAGCCGCACGTAGGGCGGTGGGCGTGCCGCAGTGTAGGGCGGCCGTCGGGCCGCAATGTAGGGCGGCGGGCGGGCCGCGACGTAGGGCGGCGGGCGGGCCGTGACGTAGGGCGGCGGGCGGGCCGCGACGTAGGGCGGCGGGTGGGCCGCAGGTAGGGCGGCGGGCAGGCCGCGACGTAGGGCGGCGGGCGGGCCGTCGACGTAGGGCGGTGGGGCCGTGACGTTGGGCGGCGGGGCCGCGACGTAGGGCGGCGGGCAGGCCGCAACGTAGGGCGGCGGGCGGGCCGCGACGTAGGGCGGCGGGTGGGCCGCAGGTGGGGCGGCGGGCAGGCCGCGACGCAGGGCGGTGGGGCCGCGACGTAGGGCGGCGGGGCCGCGCCGTAGGGCGGCGGGGCTGTCGAAAGGCAGGGCGGCGGGGCCGTCAGCTAGGGCGGCTTGGCGCGACCTGAAGGGCGGCGCGACGGGCCGCTAGGAGGCGACCTGACGGGTCGCTAAAAAAAAGAAATAAAAAGGAGAGCGCGACTCGAGGCGCGCTTCGGTGGGCCCTAGGAACAGTCCCTAGGAGGGTACCTGCTCTGATTCCATGAGAAAATGAGAACGAGAGAATGAATCAACTATGAATGAAGTGAGTACATATAGGAAACCCTGATTGTGTTGTACCCCTTATGGGATACCCCACTATAGCCTACACAAAGATATGTAAGCTATAATGTTCTGACAGCTGTTAATCGCATTTGGTTATGTTCATAACGGGACATATGTCGTCCCGATAATGGCTGCACAATTGAGTTTATAAAGGTTCGGCGTAGTATCGGCGGTGCATGTTGACGAGGGTACAGTAATCTCGACTCAATTGCAGTGTGACAAGTGTCAAATATGGCTGGAACCCGCTGCCAATCACGAACCGCCATGGTGGTATCCACATTCTACAATCTCCTTTGTCCCTGAGTCTCCGTCGTCTGAGCAAATCAGATGTTTATCCCCGAAGATGCCTGGTGGAGTGTATAAACGCAACAATCGCTCTACAGCCCGACAGTTTAGTTCTTGCCACACTAGGGTTTCGGCCTTTCTCATGAAGTCGCCATGGTACCGCGAACCAAAGCCCAGGCCTCTAAACGAGGCCTCCATAGTCCACAAGCCATGACATCGCGTAGGCCACCGGCAGCGCCGCGGCGGGATAACACCACGATCCCGGAATCGATGAGCTACAAGCGGCTGCGCTCGCGTGAACTCCAGCAGGGGGATACGAATACCGAGGCCGCAGTGGCCGCGTCGGTTTCAGCATGGGGCTCGTGGCTGCCATGCGTCAAAGATGAGCCCGCGCCGAATGACGCGCTGACTGCTCTACTGAACGCACCATCTTCAACGACCTTTAAGACGGTGTCTCTGTATAACCACATGGGTGTGGGCTGTCAAGTGACTGCGCACGACGCATTGACGGTCGCCGACAAGGAATATCTGGGGGACGCGGTCGTCGATTTCCATAACATGTACGTTTTTGGTTGGCGATACTCCTCTAGGTTGCTTTGTCGCCACCTAAGGTATGCCGACTTTAACGTTTAAAATTTTATCGTGCGTTATCCCTTCGCACCCGTGCAGCCTCCTGAACATCAGGTACCCAAGGTGTCTGAACGGGAAATCATGGGTGGTCCTTGACAGCAAGGCGTATGCGTATGCCAAGCTTCACAAGAAGCCGATTGGGAGGTGCACGGGCTTGTCTGTGTTCGAGTACGATTACATCGCCGTCCCGGTATATGCCGGGTAAGTACGTCTTTTGCAAGCCGCTGTAATAAGCCCGTCTGTCGCCCCAGCCTAACAAAGGCCCCTCAATTGTGCAGGAAACACTATTCTTTGATGGTGGTAACCAACCCGAGCGGGATTGTAAGCCAGACGGCCGCACCTGTGGAGTTCATTCTGTTCGACAGTGACGGCCTCCACGCCAAGACTACTGATGCCTTTGACGGGACTAAAGCGTGAGACTCGCTATATATCACCGTGCAACCCCCTTTCAGCGGTGACGTCCTGCGACCTCATCTGACCTGTTGGCTATATCGTCGTGCAGGTTATTGCACCTCATGTGCAAACGCGATCATCCGGAGGTGGACCAGGAGGCGTCTAGGCAAGCGCTCATCAAGGCAGAAACGATAATCATGGAGGTGAGATGCTGCAAAGACAGTATGGCTCATTCTATCCCACTTGCTTTCTAATACGGGAGCGCGTTCTGATGAACGGAAACATGGTGTCTCGATGGTGCGCAGGGTCACCAGATCCCCAAACAACCTAGCAGCTGGGACTGCGGAGTGTACATGTGCCAGTATCTCGAAGCACTGGTGACATCTGGGTTCATAACCGTGAGAGAGTACATATCGTTCAAGGGGGTGAGCGCTGAGAGGTACCACCACAAGATGCGTGGGGATCTTTGTTCTCATGCCGAGGGAACGCTGATTCCCAAGCTGCAGCGCCAGGGTCTCCGCATACCTCTGCAGCCTGTTCCCGTTATCGACGACAACGGATACATCTACGTCGACCCTCACGTGGACATCCGAAGAGAGCTGCTAGACCACAAGGAGAAGTTCGCTGTGATTGAGCACGACATACAGGTTCTGACAGCCAAGATCGAGTATCTGGCCATCCGCAAAGGCGTGACGTCGGACGAGCTGGACGCAGGGGCGCGCCAACACCTTGGTGCCGTGGTGGACATGCTGGTAGAGTCGGCAACTCCACACAAGCACGCTAAAGCAGACCATACCGCGGACAGAAGTGGCCCAATGGAAGTCGCGCAGACTCCACCGACGCGTGCACTGGCGGCAGTGCCATCAATCTCTCCCTGTCTTGCACCTCACACATCTGCCGTGAAAGATAGCCAAGTTACTGCCGGAGACGCGACACCTGCTGTGGTCAGGCAACAACAGCGCGACCATCTTGCAGTGGCTTTGCGCAGCCGCGCTAAGACTCCCGTGCCCGCAGCTCCAGGTAACCCTGGAAGGGTCGCAAGCAGCGGCCGAACGGGAGTTATGTGGAACGCAGAGAAGCAGAGGTACTACGTCCGGATCATATCTGCTCGCTGTCAGCAGGTTCGTCTGGGGTCGTACGAGGACAAGGACGAGGCGTCATACGCCCATGCTGCGGGAGCCGTTGTACTTCGCCCGAACTCACGCATCAGCTGCACGGTTGAGTTGTCCGACGGTGACAGGCAGGCTTTAGCCGGCTGCACAGAGGAGATCCTAAGGCTACTCGTGAAGTACAGGCGCTGGAACAGATGGAGGGAGTGGAGAGCCGCAATGGCTGGCCTGGACGACGCGCAGCCGGTCGAGACCCGTTCGCGGCGAAAGGGCAAAGTGTCCCGGGCCATTAGTGACGTTGAGGAGGTGGAGGCGATCACGCAGACTACAGAGGACCAGCCTATGACTGAAGAGCCAGAGGACCGAACAGAGGACTACACGGATGACGATGAGTCTGTTGACGACGATGCTGTGTATGAACCTGGAAATGATACTTTCGACGAAGATGATGGATGGGAGGATGTCAACCGTGCACAGGGTGTTGCATGAAGCATTAAACAGGGTGGCTATTGGACCAAGGGTTGTTCTAGTTGTGTGCTCATACTGATAGGACTTAGACCTGGTGGCGGGTAGCCGAATTTGGAAATGTAAGCATCGCATCTACCACGGTTTTGAACTGTCCATATCCAGGAGATGTAAATATATGACAAAGAACTCTTAAACGATGCACATCTTGAAACTGTAACCACGGTTGGGGGTAGTAGCAAATGGTGAAAAAAGTGGGTGTATAATTGGAGTAACGCATTTGACAGAAACGTGGACGAGCATCGACGATGTGACAATCCTGGCACGACGACATGTTACACGTGGAAAGTGTGGCTGACAATTGTCTGTAATCAAACTGGCCACTCTAACCGTGACATGTGTAGAATTGTGCGCGTGGCCAAGAGCGTGAGGCAACTAGTGCGGTGACAAACTCCGTTATCGAGCATTGCAATGTACATGAGAGTGGTAAGGGGACTGCTGCGAGCGAAGGTAGAACCCCGGGGTGGTTTAGAGCTACGCCGTTTCGAACACGCTGTGTATGCGGTCTGAGATGCTGTCTCCGCTAGAGGTCGATATGACTCCCACCGACGGCGGTCGTTCCAAGCGGGCGAAGACTGCGCCGTCATGGTTAGCTGATTCATATGAATACGGGGAGCGGAAGAAGAAAGGACGACCCCTAGCGGAACCCAAGAGGCGTAAAACAAGCAAAGGAAAATGTGGCGCGGCGGATAAGAACGTGGGGCATGACGAAGGTAACATTTGTGACGTGACAAGTACGTTGCATTTCATGTACCAGTGCTAATGCTTGTCTGTGGTGATATATGCCGTATGCGCACGCAAACTACACACCCTTCTACCTACCACGCAACTGGGGAGCGTGCCCGAAAGAGATATTGCGTCCCCATCCCAGACGATGGTGCGTGTTCGCTCGTCATATGGCCGGAGCGATTATGGCTGCAACTCCTGTGTCGTGCCATAGTGGACCAGACATGTCTTTGAACCCTCCCCTTTTTCCGTACGCGGTATCGTTGTACCCATTTTGCATTCCACGTGCGCAGGGGACCCGACCTTGTGCAAGTGGCAAATCAGCAAGGATGGACTGCCATTTGCATCTGGAGCATTCGCGGCATGTGCCATTGCGGCTTTCGGAGGGAAGCGGAAGGACAAAGGAACAACTATAAAGCTGTACCACCTGTCATGGCTCGAGCACCTTGTACGTTTACACCGATGCAAACATATGTTGTAGCCACTTTCCTTCAACTCGCCGTTGTAAATGGGCTTCACCTGCCTTTGCAGATCACGGACGCCATTATCAACTGGGAGAAGCGCAAGGGGAAACTGCACAACTCTCCGTGCGAGAATGGCGCTTCTGTGCGGAGGATTCAGAAGCTGGCCTTCGATGCCATTGCGGATGCAGTATGCCGGAATGAAGTGCCCTACGACGAGGAGAAGAAGTCCTGGAAGTGGGGCAGGCATGGGCTCCGCCTTTCATCTTGCAGCCTGGAATGCCTCCTGGAAGATGAAGCAGCCTCCGAAGACGAAAAACATGAGTCCTCCGCGTCGGAAGCATCGGATAGTGAAACAGATGGTTGACGTCCTGATAGTGTGTTCAATCCAATTGTGTGTCGTAGACTAGTGTAGTGGTTTAGTGGGGACAGGTTGTGGTTGTTGTTGGTTCAGTGCATTTGTGCAGTAAATCGGTGACATATATGTTGGATACTGCACACCTAGCGGAGACCTTGTGCATGTTGGATACGAGGATGGTTGAAACGCAACTCTCTGCATTCCGCGCAGTACGGCGACAAATGCGGCGCTAATAGCGGCGACAAATGCGGCGGGGTAAATATGAGCCGTTAGATGTCACGCTAGTCTAGCGACGTGGATAGAGGGCAACCGTACAATGAAACGCGGCTTTTTTTTTTGCCCGACGACGGTGTCTAATGGCTATTTGCCACGTGTGTGATGGATATGGTCACTGGTGTGTTATCGTGAGATCTGCGACGATTACGTGTGAACGTGCGATTGGTATCAGTATTCCTAGTTGGAAAACCCTATCACCGAACGGACGGCGTGTGTAGGTACAGGTGGATTCCACTACAAATCGTGGGATGACATTTGTATCGGACGGACGGTAGAGATGAGGCGTATGGGTGTGAGATCTGGAGGTTGTCGGCGTATCCGGTGCGGCCATGTGCCGTGCTGCGGTTGGCATAGCGGAGTTGCCACGCGACAATCGCGTGCGTACAACTGTGGCCATCTCGACCGTACATGCGGCACGATACGATTCGTTATGGTTTGGCATCCACCTGTCATAAAGCGTGATTACACGTGTAAATATTATGCTGACGTGGAATAGTGACTTCATGTATGCTAATCGGCAGCTATGTGGCAACACACAGGTGTAACCGTGGAGTGTCCGCATGGTGACGCAAATGTCACTGGCAGCTACATGACGTAGAAGCGACCCACATGACGCCGTGCGGGTTGCGGCCATGTTGCCGGAAACGTTGCTAAAAAGCTGCGGGAAAGTTGCGGGAAAACCACTTTCCCTGTAACCCTGACCCAGAAGCCTTTGACCTAGACTTTTTTTTTGCGAAACAAAAGTTGCGGAAAAGCAACTTTGAAGCTGCAGGGAAGCAACTTTATGTGCTTGGTTTTTTCGCGATGACAGGATCGGCGGATTTATTCCCTCGTCCCTTGTAACTCCCAAATCCTGTAGTGCGGCTACTTTCCCTTACCACGTTTCCACAATTCTTCAGAACCTACTGTTTCTTACTGCAATGCTATGCAGGGATGACGACAAGCCCAAGTGGGTCAAGTACACGGTGAAAACCTCCCGGCTGAAAGGAGAGATGCCGCCGACCAAGACGCACGTGCACAAGGGGGAGAAGGGGAAGAACGACGCCGTCCTTCTTGACCTGCCGTGCTAGTACGAGAAGAAGGGCGACGAGCAGTGGCGATGCGAGGGCTCCCTCGGGAAGAACAAGGAAGATCGGTCGGATACGCTGCTGTCGGCTCTTAAGGAGATTGTTAAGAAACCCAGTGCGCATCACGGTAACATTCATACTACGCGGTACCCTGATGGCGCCGTGCGTGGTCATTTCTCAAAGGAGTAGGGACACGTCGGGTGGGGAAGGGCTCAAGGAATAAAGTGGTGGTGAATAAGACACTGTAACGGGTGCAGGAAGCCAACTTTTTGTATGTGTTGAATTATTTTTATAAAAAAAATCTTGCTAATTTACCAAAATATTTATGGACGCAGTACTCAAGGCAGAGGCCAGCCCGGTAATGTCTTTCCATCACATGTCAACCATTGTTTCCTTTATCTCAGGCTGTGTTGTTGTGCAGTACCATTTGGTCTTATCCACTAGTCTTTCCAGTGAATTGCTCACTACAATGGCTTTGGCGGCTCAACAAATGAAGCAGCAGCAGGGTCCTCCCGCCTTGGAATCTCATCAACCACCTTCTCAGAAGCGGAGGCGGATGACGGGAGCAGCAGGGGTAGGGGGTGGAGGGGGAGGAGGCCAGAAGGTTACTGTAGACTCTGAAATCGCGGGGGCTGCGATGGCTGCTGTACTCGCTTATGCTGATCTGTTAGCAGACGATAGTAACTACGGGTGTTACACTCTCCTCCCATACAGTCTCCACACGCACATGCGCCTCGACGCAACCGCCCTCCGCGCCCTCAACGTCACCGAATCCAAAACGGACGGAAATAGAAACTTTTCCTTAATGGGACTGATGAACCGCACGTGCACTGCGGGCATGGGGAAAAGGTTACTAAACCGGTGGCTGAAGCAGCCGTTAGTGGATGAAGAGGAGATTAAGTTTCGGTTGGATGTGGTGCAGTCGTTTGTAGAGAGCGGTGGGATGAGGCAGGAGGTGCGGGGGCATCTGAGACGCATGCCGGATATAGAAAGGCTGACTAGGCGGCTCGAGATGCGGCGAGCTGGGCTGCAGGACGTGGTTAAGCTGTATCAGGTGAGTTAGTAACGAGTGTGAGTCTATAACGAGTGTGACTGTAGCGAGTAAGACACTGTAGCGAGTGCGGGGGCATTCGAGACGCATGCCGGATATAGAGAGGCTGATGAGGCGACTGGAGATGAGACGAGCTGGGCTGCAGGACGGGGTTAAGCTGTATCAGGTGAGATTGTAACGAGTGTGACTGCAACGAGTGTGACCGTAACGAGTGTGGCTGTTGCGAGTATGAGACAGTCATAGTATTTTTTACCCCCCTTAGCTCTCAGTGATCCAACCACCCCTCCCTTCCTCCTTTCCCCCCGTGGCCACCATTCGCCTTCCTTTCATCAACGAGGTGATTGGAACCCACCTGTCGTCCTCCCTCTCACCTGCTCCCCTCTTCTTTTCCCTCTGCTCTGCTTGCTCCCCCACCCACCAACCCTCCCTTTTCTCCTTTTCCGTTTTCGGCCCTCATTTCAGGCCAGCATTCGCCTTCCATTCATCCGAGAGGTGCTTGAAACCCACGGAGGCTCGTTCCGCCCGATGCTGCACGAGAGGTTTGGCGCGAGCCTGCTCGAGTGGTGCGGGGCGGAGCACTTAGCTAAGTACGAGGGTCTGGTGGAAGCAGCAGTAGACTTAGACGCTCTGCAGTCAAACGGAGAGTATTTAATAGCTCCAGGTTATGACCCAAGCCTAGGGGAGATTAAAGAGGAGAGGGAGGGGGTTGAAGTCGAAGTGCAGAGAGCGTTGCAGCAAGCAGCAAACGATTTAGGCCTCATAGTGGATAAGACGATTAAATTAGATAAGACGGCGCAGGCGGGGTATTGCTACAGGATAACGAAGAAAGAGGAGACGAACGTTAGGAAGAAGCTGAATTCGTCGTATGTGACTCTTGAGACCAGGAAGGACGGAGTCAAGTTCACGAATGCGAAGCTCCGGAGGCTGAGCGAGCGCCACGTGTCGCTCACGGATTTGTACATGGCGGCTCAGCGAGAGCTCGTTGCAAAGGTGGTGGAAGTGGCACAGACGTTTTTGGAGGTGAGTCATGGGTTTGGGGCTTTAGGGTTTATGTTTTAGAGTCTAGAGTTCTAGATCTAGTGTGTTGAAACCCATGCTTCAGGCCAAGGGTCTATGGAGACTCATGTGGTACATGGCGGCTCAGAGGGATGATATCTCACTGTACGATCACGCCCTAGGCCATGTCACTGCCCCTGCAGCTACTGCTGACAGCACTGCTCGCTCAAAGTGGCAGACTCGTGATGCCCACGCTCGCTTCGCCATTCGCAACTCCCTGCCGATAGACAAACGCGAGCACTTTGGCCAGCACAAGACTGCACAGGCACTGTACACAGCTGTCGTTGCTCGCTACTCCTCACCTGCCTCTGCCGCACTAGGTCGTCTCTCCCTCCCCTACCTGTTTCCCGACCTGTCCTCCTTTCACACAGTTGCTGACCTCATCACGCACCTCCGCACTAGTGAGGCCCGCTTCCGTGCCGCCATGCCTGCTGAGTTCCTTGCCACGCACCCCCCTCCACTCTGGCTCACTCTCTACTACCTAGTCACACGCCTCCCTGACACACTGCGTGCTGTCAGGGACCACTTCCTAGCTCGTTGCTCCAATGAGCTCACCATTGCCCTCCTTGAGAAGGAGCTCCTTGCAGCTGAGACTAGCATAGTTGCTGTAGGTGCCTCTCGTAGCGACCCCCGTACCCCGTTCTTTGAGGGGTGTTCTCCTTCCCCCCTTCTTCCCTCTGTCGCCTCTGCTGCTGCTGTCGACCTTCTCGGTGCTGAGAAGGTCGGCGCTGCGTCTGCCTCGAGCGGGCGCCGCAGCGGCAAGGGCAAAGGGGGCAAGGGTGGTAGCAGTGACGGCGGGGGAGGCGGCGGTGGGGGCGGTGGAGGCAGTGGGGGTGGTGGCTCGGCTGGAGGGGCGACTGGTAGCGGTGGGGGTGGTGGCGGCAGCGGCGGAGGAGGTGGCAGGAGTGGAGGCGGCGGTTGGGGTGGCGGTGGACAAGGCGGCGGCAGGGGTTGGGGTAGTCGAGGAGGTGGCAGCGGTGGTGGTGGCCGTGGAGGCACTGGCGGTGGCCAGGGCCAGCAGCACACTCCCTTGCCCTAGGAGGTCCGTGAGTGGTACTCTCAGCACGGGGGTGGGGGTGGTCTTAGTTGCACGTACGTCATTCGCACTGGTGACCGCACTGGTCAGCAGTGTGGACGACCGCACGCCACATAGCGCTGCTTCGCTCGTCTCGACGACGCTTGGCGTGCTCAGTTCCCTCAGGCCACTGAGCTGCCCCGCTGGGTTGATCTCCTGAAGAAGGGGATTGATATCTATGCTCTAGACTTTGATGCTATTCTATCTGCCATGTATGTGATGTCTACTAGTGGAGAGGGTGCCGAGTACTTGTGTGTGCCGCCCGACCCGGGCATTAGGGCCAGTGCGTCTGCCGCTCCAGGTACTCGCGTGTCGGCTACCCCAGGTGCTGGTGAGGCTGCTGCTCTAGGTGCTCGTGTGTCCCCCCCCCCTGGTACTGCGTCGACTGCCGCACTGCACACCTTCACACTGGACTCAGGTGCTTCTCGCTGCTTCTTTCGTGACCGCACTGCCCTTGAGCCGCTTGCTCGGCCAGTTGCTGTCTCGCTTGCTGACCCCTCTGGGGGTCCGGTCATTGCGACCTCTTCCACTGTCCTTCCCTGCCCTGCGGTCCCGTCAGGCACACTGTCAGGTCTCCACCTCCCCTCGTTCTCTACGAACTTGGTGGCAGGATGTGCTCTTCAGGACGGGGGTGTTTACCAGTTCACCCCTGCCTACGAGCGCGTGACCCACTGCACGTGTGCTCGTACGGGCCGTCACTTGGCTACCTTCACTCGGCAGCCGGGGTCGGACCTGTACACACTAACTACTGCCTCCCCTCAGGTCGCTGCGTCTACGTCTGCGTTTGCGTCCGCGTCAGGTCAGCTGTCTGCCCCCTGCTCGTGTCGCTCTCTAGCACACGAGATTGTCCTCTGGCACCACCGACTTGGCCACCCGTCTGTGCAGCGCCTTCGTGCCATGCACTCCCGGTACCTTGTCTCTGGTCTTCCCAGGGTCCTCCCTCCCCTCCCACCCTCGCCTGCTCCTCCCTGCCTTCCCTGTGTCGAGGGGCGGCAGCGCGCCGCTCCTCACTCCTCCTCGTTTCCCCCGACGACTGCTCCTTTGCAGACGCTCCACATGGACGTGTGGGGCCCAGCCCGCGTTCGTGGTCAGGGTCAGGAGAGGTACTTCCTGATAGTTGTTGACGACTACTCGCGCTACACCACGGTCTTCCCCTTGCGCACCAAGGGTGAGGTTCCTGATGTCTTGATGCCTTGGATCCGCAGAGCCCGTCTCCAGCTCAGCGAGCGTTTCCGCTCGGACTTTCCTGTCCTGCGCTTGCACTCTGACAGAGGTGGTGAGTTCTCCTCCGACCTCTTGGCAGCCTACTGTGCTGAGCACGGCATTGAGCAGTCGTTCACGCTTCCGGCCTCTCCACAGCAGAATGGGGTTGCGGAGCGCCGAATTGGCCTGGTCATGGAGGTCGCTCGTACCTCCTTGATCCATGCGGCTGCCCCCCACTTTCTGTGGCCATTTGCGGTCCGGTATGCTGCGCATCAGCTCAACCTCTGGCCCCGTGTCTCCTTGCCAGAGACCTCGCCCACGCTGCTGTGGACGGGGGAGGTGTGAAACTGAATGAACAGGAAATGTGTGAACTATGAATGAAGGCAGTACAAATATGAAACCCTAACTGGGTTGTACCCCCTATGGGATACCCCACTACAGCCTACACAATAGTATAAGCTATAGATATGTTCTGACACACCCCCATAGGCAAAGTGGGGGAGAACAAGGGGTCACAAGACCAGTCAAGCAAAGCAAAGCAAAGCAAGCTCGGGGTGGATCACAAAGTCACCACGCATTCCGAGCACAAGTTCAAAGGCCAGACGGCCAGTTCACATGCAAGATCATATATAGAGATATACAAGAGTCAAGCAAGCAAGAGCAAGAGTATATATAGGCGAAGGTACAAGCAAGGTCAAGAGGAGAGCAAGTGAGGCAAGACAGGCACAAGACCCAACTGCGTGCAACAACGCTGATGATCACAAGGCGCAAGTGCCTTGGTGAAGACATCAGCAGTGTTGGCCTCAGAGGCCACGTACGCAAGTCGCAACTGTCCACGCTGCTGTAGCTCACGAGCAAGAAAGTAGCGGAGAGCAATGTGCTTCGTTCTGTGCTCCAGTCGCTGCTCTCGACACAGGGCCAGCATGGCCTTGTTGTCTACGTACAGGACTGGAGGAGAACGAGGCTGCTCTCCAAGGTCGGTCAGCAGGTAGGTGAGCCAGCGTAACTCCTGCGCAGCCATAGCCCCAGCGTAGATCTCAGCCTCACAACTGGAGCCGAGAACAGAAGACGAGCGGGTAGCCCGCCACGAGACAGAGCCGGAACCAAGGCTGAAGGTGTAACCCTGTGACGACCGCTGCATAGCCTGGTCGTCAGCCCAAGAAGCGTCTGCGTGCCCAGTGAGGACCACTGGACTGCGCCCTCCAAGCACTAGCCCCATGCCCGACGTACTGCACAAGTAACGCAACACCCTCTTCGCTGCAGCCATGTGCTCTGGTCGGTGTCTCCCAGGAGCAACAAAGTGTGCGAGAATGCTAAGAGGGTATGCGAGGTCAGGTCGTGTGCAGGTCATCAGGTACATGAGGCAGCCAACAAGCTCTGCAAACGGACCACTCGACTCTACGGACTCATCCGAAGGCAGAGCTGAGAGCGAGTGGCGAGTAGGCAGAGGAGTGGCCTGAGGCGAGGAGTACGTGAAGCCGAAGCGCTGAAGGACCTGCTGCACCATGTGTGACTGAGTCAGGGTAATGGTGCGGCGTGCTCTGTCCCGGGTGATCTGCAAGCCAAGGTAGCTACGCAGTTCACCCAGGTCAGTGCACGTGTGTCTCTTCTGCAGCTCGGACTTCACGTAGGCGAGTCCGGCAGTGTCAGCTGTGGCAAAGACCAAGTCGTCGACGTACACGAGGATGTAGAACGGCGGCAGAGAGGTGTCGGTGCGCAGAAACAGCGACGGGTCGGCAGTAGAAGGAGCAAACCCAAGTGCCGCGAGCGTAGTCCTCAGTGTGTCGTGCCACTCACGTGGCGCCTGGCGGAGACCGTGGACTGGACGCCGGAGACTCCACTGGGTACCAGGAGGGAAAGACCCAGTGAAGCCAGGTGGGCGACGCAGCCAGATCTCCTCGTGCAGGCTGCCCTGCAAGAAAGCTGTGCTGAAGTCGAGAGAGTGCAGCTCGTAGTCGCGGTGAGCAGCAACGTGCAGCAGAACCCGAAGAGTGGTCATCTTCAGGGTGGGGGAGAAGGTCTGAAAGTAGTCAACCCCCTGCCGCTGACTGAAGCCACGAGCCACGTAACGCGCCTTGAAGACAGGCGGAGAACCCGGCGGCCGCTTCACCCTGAAAATCCACATGCCACTGACGATGTTCGCCCCAGGAGGGGGAACAGCGTCAACGTAGGTGCCTGTGGACTTCCAGGAAGCCATCTCTGCATCCATAGCTGCCTGCCACTGAGAGGAGTAGGGACCCTCTATCGCCTCCGCGTAAGAGCGCGGAGTCGGGATGTCTGGTGCATCCGGGTCTCCCTCAGGGGCTAGCAGTACAGACGCGAGACGAGGTGAAGCGGCGGCCAGACACTGGAACTCCTCCTGCCTGTCCTCAAGGACGTCCGTGCCAAGGGCACACTCACCCCCGACGGACGGAGGACAGGCGGACTCAGACTCAGTGACAAGACGAGCAGCGTAGTCTAGACGACAGCTCGCAGCAAAGTCGACAAGCTCAGTGACAAGGGCAGACGCAGCAGACGACTCGAAGGAAGGGTCAGTGACAGCAGTAGCAAGGAGACGCGTGACAGTAGGACTGGCAGCACGAAGAGAGTCCAACTCCGGGTCGGCAAGAGCAGGAAGAGAGGAAGCAGGAGGAGAAGGCAAAGGGGCACGCAGAGGAGCAGTGGACGGACGCAGTGACATCCAGTGCGTGCCAGGGATAGGAGGAGGACGCTGACGCGACCCGCG